GTATGGAAACCATACAGTTAGAACACGAACACACTCCTTCTCCCCTCGCATACTCTTCCGACCCCGGGAATGACATGCCGGCATTAGACCGCACTAAGTGGATCCCTTGGATTGACCGCAACAAGCACCTATTGCAGGCGTGCACGACGCAGCCGTGGTTTTTGCAATTAAAAGCGGATTGGAAACAATATCAGCGTGAGCACATGGCGGCAAACGGAGGCCCACGGGCACAGTGAACTAGGTGAGCACGCCAACATCCCATCCGCAGTGATGAAGAAACTGCATGCATGGAAACAATGGGTCGAACAGCAACATCGGAAAATGAGTACATACAAGGAAGAGGCGTGGTTCAAACATTTGTTGCATAATGTACAGGAGGCGACAGTGTCGGAAAAAGGCGAAGTATCAGTAGTCGAAAAAGACTTAGAAGTGGACAAAGTAATGGCCGCAGAAGACTTGCTACAAGTGAGCGATGTACCACGGTCACAACCACTGCCTCAGCAACCTTACATGAAAAAATCGTTAACCGCTCAAACATGGATACTGATCCTGGCATTAGTCATAGAACAGTGCGAAGTCGAACGCAGTTTGCAGGATAGGGAGTTATATGTGGATGACCTATTGCAAAAGCTCTGACATTCGGATGCAGTGCGGGGTATGCAGCAATGTAGATGGGGACACATGATAACAGCAGATACCTGTTCCCCCTTATTCGACATACACATTATACTTCTAGTTTGCACTATTACATACCTTCCTTTTTTTTTCTGCTCTCTTCTGCTTCCTTCTGTTTCTTTCTGTTTACTTTTGCCTTGTTTTGTTCTTGTTATCTAGTGAACTTCTTTTAGCATGACCATGGGCACACGGTGGTACAGGTCACATGCATATAACATGTACATTTAAATGAATAATATGAAGGGGTCGTATTCTCCTTTATGTGAAGTTAATTATTACAACATGCGCACGTGCATTCAAAGGGTATAGTGCAGCACAAATATAGCATGCGCATACGCATTCGAGTATAAGGAGACATTTTCTCTCGGCGCAAACCCGGCCGCGTAAACCGCATTGTAGCCGCGTGTGAGAAGGACGAGAGCTTGTCTCTCCGAGCAAACGCGTCGATCCACGCGGCCAAGTGCAACACGGATTCGACGAAGGATTGTCCCAGTGTAAGAAGCAGGAGATTGTCTCTCCGAGCAAACGCGTCGACCCCCGCGGCCCACTGTAGCACGGTTTCGACGACGGATTGTCCGAGTGTAAGAAAGGAGGGAGACATTGTCTCTCCGAGCAAACGCGTCGACCAACGCGGCCGGGTAAAGGACATTGTCCGAGTGAAGCGGTTCGACGAAGTGGCCGAGTGTAAGAACGGAGGGAGACATTGTCTCTCCGAGCACAAGTGGCCCAGTGTAACCACGATTCGACGAAGTGGCCGAGTGTAAGAACGAGGACAGATTGTCTCTCCGAGCACACGCGTCGACCAACGCGGCAGCGTGTACGAAAGCAGGAGGATTGTCTCGCCGAGCACATGCGTCGACCAACGCGGCCAAGTGTAACAAGTATTCGACGACGCAGCCGCGTGTACGAAGGAGGAGAGCTTGTCTCTCCGAGCAAACGCGTCGCACAACGCGGCCGGGTAAAGCACATTGTAGCCGAGTGTAAGCAACGGCGGAGAGATTGTCTGTCCGAGCAAACGTGGCCGAGTAAGGGGTATTCGAGGAAGTGGCCGAGTGTAAGAAAGGAGGGAGACATTGTCTCTCCGAGCAAACGCGTCGACCAACACGGCCGAGTATAACAAGGATTCGACGACGTGTCCGCGTGACGGAGACAGCGTGACGGACAGGCGTTCACGGAGAACGGGGTGACGGAGAAGCGTTGACGGGAGAGGCGTGGACGGAGAAGGCGGTGACGGAGAATCGTACACGGAGACGGGGTGACGCGGAGACGGGGTGACGCGGAGACGGGGTGACGCGGAGACGGGGTGCGCGGAGAAGCGTTGACGGAGAGAAGCGTTGACGGGAGAGGCGTTGACGGGAGAGGCGTTGACGCAGAACGGTGTGACGGAGACCGCGTGACGAGGAGACGGGGTGACGCGGTGACGGCGTGACGGAGAGGCGTTGACGGAGTAGCGTGACCCGGAGACGGGGTGTGTGTATATTTTTTGTTGTTGTTGTTGTGATGTGCACGCGGTAGTAGTAGTAGTAGTAGTAGTCGTCGTACTTTTTTTTTTAAGTAAGGGGAATAAAGTGTTTTTTTTGTTTTGGGGGGTTTTTTCTGTCTGCGTCTGTTTCACGTTTTTTTTTGCCTGTTGAACTTTTTATTCTTTTTTTCTCCTTTTTGTGTGCTTATTTGCTCAATATACGTATACATAACTTGCAGCTAAAATTTATAGGGTCACGGCTGATGCAGTTGTTGCACGCGCACAAGTAATCTTTTATTACACGAGGAAAATAATTATAATAAGAAAAGGGGGAGCATACGGAGAATAGGACAACGGCTGCCTAGAATATCGTGATGCTAACGTTTGGCCCGTACCTGAGGTGCCGCGTCAATGTGCATCACACCAGATTGATATAACTGTCTATAGCACGCACAATATGGCAAACGAGGGACATTGGACACATGTAATTGCAGCATGGGCAAAGAGCATAGTACTACGGAAACAGGAAGATTTTGACGTAAGTATTAGATCAGCACCAGGGCTTGCACGACACAGGGCACAAGGGCGGCGGAGAATAGTGTTGGTACATATATATGCGCTAACACATACGGAACGGAAGGTAGAGTCCTATAGAGTTTACATATTGTTATACATTAATCATGTTCTCTATGTATATATTTCGTAGAGTGCATTATGGGCAGATATGCAGAATGTGTTACAAGAATTCGTGGACCACATGGAAGACACCGAACAACATATAGATGCGTATGCCATAAGCTGCGGGGATGCAGGTTGGCCGCGTAGAGGAGCGGCGCATCATGGAACCCTCTACACCGGACACACAGTTGCGGCCCAGATGAAATGCAGACTGATGGTTGGAGCATTATATTTTGTAACTGGGTGGAGCAATCACATGACACATGATAAGGACGAATCGGAAAATGATACGGCCCTGAAGGCAATGATGAGGTGCATCGTGGCCCATGTTTTTGCGTATATATTGGCTGAAATAAAGTGTAAATATGAGTGGCCAGCAATAGACCAGGCCTGGTACATCATGAGAGGCATGGGACAACCGGGTGGGGTGGAGACGTCAATTTCAGCTGGCACCTGTACGCTGGATGCGTATAAGAATACTAACATAGGCACAGGGAACTTACAGGAAGCGGTAAAACAATGGTTAAAGAAAAGTAAAAAGATAAGTGCTAGTATAAAAGAAATAGAAGACAACCCGAACTGCAACATAGAATGGAAAATGTACAAGAACAGTATGGAACAGAGCGGAAAAGGTGCAGACCTTTCCAGTATATTTCAGGAGCACCATATGCAGGGGTTAGTAAAACAGCAGGTAACAAAAATGTTTAAGAAAATTACCAACACAGTAAGCAAAAAGGTGGAGCAGGCGCGCAAAAAGGAAACGGGCTCTATGGGATCCGAACATAGTGACCTAGACTCTTCGGACGAGGACGAGGAGGAGGACGATGAAGAGCAGCAGAACGCACAAGAGGACATGAAGGACAGGACAGGTAAAAACACGACTCCTAAGACTACGAATACGAATAGTACGGCCGCTACCGATAAGCCTGCGGATGCATGCCGGCACCACAACAACAACGCACACGGTGCGGAACAGTCACAACAGCGCACACGGCAGCCACAACAACACAGCAAACGACTTCGTTGACGCTGACCGACTGCGATGAGCGGTGTCCACGACGAGATGACGGCGACAACATAAACGTTGTACTGCTACCATCTAGCCCAAGTTCACCGAGTTCGCCTGGACGCAGTCCATCGAGTGCACCCGACCGTGCCGCTACCTGATCGAACCGTCCCGGCCCCCTTCTTTCTGTACCACTTGTGTCCCTTTGTTTTTTATCATCTACACTTTCTTCCGTTCCCCCTCTTAGGTAAACCAAGTGCAGGATCAGGAGTGACGGGCTCCGGAGGGGGGAAGTCATTGCAGCCATCGCAAGCGCAAGCGCCGGCATCTCCAGTATTACCAGCAAGACCACCACAACCAGAAGCAACACCAGGAGCAGGAGCAGCAGGACCCGTACCACAACCCCCACCTGCGGCACCACCCCCAGCATCATCCTCCTCGGGATCGGGAGCAGGTACAGGGACACCATCAACGGATACTGAAAAACCAGGTAAGTGCTCAAAGCCACCACTGTCTGCCACAGTCCAGAATGCAGGCAAAGGTCTCGCCGGTGCTAAATCCATTACCACTATCACTTTTGGCACGAGTTCCGGAACTGAGGATGCATGTGGGAACAAACCTAAGGACTCGCGTGAAGGTAGTGTCCTGAGTGAATATCGACAACAAAAACAAAGAGAACAAAAAAGAAACAACTTTTCCGGACAGAGAGGGAGAGACACCACGGAGAGAGAGGCAGCGACAGAAACCCAACGTCGAATGAGAATGAAAGCGGCAGACCGAGAGCGACAGCCGCTGGATGTAGACGTCGACAGACACACACACACACTGTGTGTGTTGTGTGTTGTGTGTTGTGTGTTGTGAGTGTTGTGCGCGGGTGCGAGAGAGAAAGTCTTTTCCCGGGGTGGCACCTGCCACCCACCGTTCGCACCGTGGCATCATGTCGCCAAGCGTGTGGCCAACCATAACATTCCACAGCACAAAACTGTAGTTTCATCGTTTTCCGCTTTTCTGCATATCCCTTCAGGGAAGGAAACACCGGACGCAGCACCCACGCAGACAGGCCCGGATCACAAGTCCCCCGCAGTAGCAGGGCCTTCCGCTGAAGCACCAGCAGACAGCACCGGACACACGCGCAGTACCTGGAGTCGAAAAAGACTTACAAGTGGAACAAGTAATGGCAGCAGCACATATGCTAAAAGTGAGAGATGCACCATGCACGCAACTGCATCCGCAACGTTACATGAACACACCGTTAACCGCTCAAACATGGATACTGCTCCTGGCATTAGTGATAGAACACTGCGAGCTTGAACGCCGTCTGAAGGAGAACGAGTTATATGTGGATGACCTATTGGAAAAGCTCTGACATTCGGATGACGGGGCATATGAATGGGACATAACGCATGCTCACCGTACACCACTTTTACTTCATTATGTGATATACACAATATATTTCTGCTTTACGTTATTCTATACCTTCCTTTTTTTGTTTCTCATCTCTTCTGCTCTGTTCTGCTTACTTCTGTTTCTTTTGCTTTGTTTTGTTCTTTTTCTGTGTAGTCAACTTCTTTTAACATGACCATAGGAACAGGTGGGTACCGGTTAAATGCATTTAAAACGTAGATTTACATGAATAATATGAAGCGGTAGTATTCTCCTTTATGTGAAGTTAATTATTAAAAGCTCAGCACGTGCATTCTAAGGGTATAGTGCAGCACACATATAGCATGCGAATACGCATTCGAGTATAAGGAGAGCTTGTCTCTCCGAGCAAACGCGTCGAACAACGCGGCCGGGTACACGGATTGCCACCGAGTGAACGTATTAGACGACGGATTGTCCGAGTGTAAGCACGGAGGGAGAGATTATCTCTCCGAGCACACGCGTCGACGACGTAGCCGAGTGCAAGAACGAGGACCATTGTCTCTCAGAGCAAACGCGGCCGCGCAAACCGGTTCGACGACGTGGCCGCGTGTAAGACATATTCGAAGCAGTAGCCGAGTGTAAGAAAGGAGGGAGACATTGTCTCTCCGAGCAAACGTGTCCGGGTAAACCGCATTGTAGCCGAGCGCACGGATTCGACGACGTAGCCGCGTACGCATCCAGAGAGGGAGCAGAGAGCGGAAGGCGGAAGATCGAAGAAAACAAGTAGTTGTTGTGTATATTTATCACGACTTCCAGAAGCAGTTGACGGAGAGGCGTTGACGGGAGAAGCGTTGACGGAGAAGCGTTGACGGAGAGGCGTTGACTGAGACGGGGTCACGAACAAGGGGCCACAGACAAGCGTGACGCAGACGCGTGACCCGGCGAGGCGTTCAAGGGGACGGCGTGACGGAGACGGGGTGTGACGAGAGAGGCGTTGACGGACACCGCGTTCACGGAGAGAAGCGTTGACGCAGAATCGTTGACGGAGACAGGGTGACAGGGGAGGCGTTGACGGAGAATCGTTGACGGACACGCGTTGACGGAAGAGGCGTTGACGGACACGGCGTGACGCGAGCGGCGTTGATGGAAGAGGCGTTGACGGAGAGGCGTTGATGTGAGAGGCGTTGACGGAGAAGGCGCTGTCGGAGGAGGTGTGACGAAGACGGGGTGACGGCAACGCGTGGCGTAGAGGCGTAGACGGGAGACCGTGTGACGGAGAGGGCGTTGACGAAGAACACACATTGCGCATGACGGGCGCTCTACTTCTTATTGCGCATCGCAAGAACGACGCACGTGGTAGAACAAGCACATGGGACGCAAACGGCACAGAAGGGCAACGTGCGGCACATGCCAAATGTAGGGGTAGTATGAATACGTTCTGTTGGCAAGAGTACGCTCTCCCTTTCTGTCTGTGAAGAACAGATTAAAAAGGGGTGCAAGTGCCTGAGGGAAGTTGGCAGAGAGAAAGGGATGTAGAGAACGGTATATACAAGGGGTTACGTCATATAATAAAATGCAGAGACGAAACGCGGTATCTGGACCAATGATGGAAGTACTAAGGCTGTATGCCACCAAGGAAGGAAAGAAAATAAATATGAGTTCACCTGAATCAGTAAGAAAAAAATAATAAGTAGCTTGAACAGTATATGCATAAAATAATGTGTACTTACTACTATAATTGATTGGAGCTGTGTACATACCATACATACAATTCATAGAATTCTATTATTATGTACAGGCATGATATTTCTACTGAAAATGGGCATGTATGAATGCCCCTGCAGAATACAACGGTATATGCAGGCAGGTTATACGTAGATTTATGTAAACAATGTTTCCCGCAGATAATATTGTTGAGCAGTATAACAAAAAACTGGGCAACATTTATGCAGCACATAGGGAACAGAAGTTTAATTGAGCAATATGGAACAATTTGCAATAGTGAAGCATGGGCAGACTCGGAAGAATATACAAAGGGAGACAGGGGGCTGAACGTGATAATGAATGATGCAGAGAGAAATGTGTGTAAGCTAATGGCAGTTGCATTATTCTTTGCAAATGGATGGGGCGCAGGGGAGAAACCCGATGTGAATAAAGCGAATACAGAGGTATTTATAAGGTGCGCAATGGCAAATATATATACTTACATATTAGAAGAAACACAGTGTGCTGGAAAACAGGGTATACATAATGCATGGCGCGCAATGCAAGAAATGGGTAATGAGCTCTTCGGAGCGGAAAATTTAATTGCAGCAGGGACATGTAGCATAGGCATGTTTAAAGAAGGGGAAGGAGGAATTGAAGGGATAAGAAGGAAAATTAAGACCTGGTTACAGTCTAATGCGGGACAGTTGGGAGCAATACAGGGCCAAGCAACGGGAAATAGCTGTCCGGAAAAAGTAGTAACTAAAGAGGAAACAAAGAAGGAAGAAGTACCTAAAAATACACAGGCAGCAGTAGGTACGGCAATGGAAGCAAAAAAGTAGATGGAACAGAGTGTGTAGGGTCAGAATTTGTGGATTCGGGGCAAAAGGGCATAACATTAAACATAGTACGGGAGAACTTATGTTCGTCATGAACACGTCCATGAGAATACATTCGTGAGTAGACACACATTCGTGCGCGATGCGCATGTTCGTAAGAATACGTTTGTGGGGAACATGTGCTGTGATGAACGACGTTCATAAAAGGAAACGGCATGAAAACGGGAGAGTGGGACACTTTATGAGAACCATGCCATCGCGCCCTTTGCTGCCGCCCACTCGTCACCCGTTTCATCCGTCGATGACGCCGACGCCGATGCCGTCGGCCCCCCTTCCACAAAGAACGAGGCAGCGAAAAAAAGAGGGACAAGGGAAGCGGAGAAATAGAATTTATACAGAGGGGAAGAGTACATAGACAGAGGCGAAAAACGGGCAATGTAGAGAGAGTGCGCAACGACACGTTCCTCGGTTTTACTCGTTTTCCATCTTCAATCCCGTTGGGATTAAGAGAGCGACAATCTAAAGAACCCGTAAAAATTATAGTTACCATTATTTTTCTGCCGTCACAGGGGGACACGGACTGCAAACACATCAAACGCAGCCGGTCGACAGCGGACCAGCATCAGCCAAACCAGTAGCGAAGTCGAAACCGGCGGCAACACCGTCACTGGGGACGGGGAATGGGACGACATCTGGTGGTGGTGGTCAGGGTGGTAGTAGTGGTAGTGGTCAGGGTGGTAAGCCTAGTACGGGAGTTGCCGTAGGAGGTCAGCACCAGAACGGGAAGATGGCGAACACCGAGGAGACAGAGTGTGATGCAGACAGAATACTGCAGCGGACGCATAGGCCAATCTACGTGGTGCCCCCACGTGATGTAAGTTAGATTACAAAGCAGGTGATGCGATGGGCAGGCAACAGGAATCAATACAAGAAGACTTTGTTCATAAGGGCACGTGCATACATGTGAGAATGTATATGTATTTATGTGCAAGCACATAGATAACATGTGCCCATGGGCACTTTTTTAATGTCCATGTGCAACACGTAGGATAATGAATGGAACAAGTGGAAGCAAGTGTTGCAGGAATTTACGGAATATATGCAGGACCACAACGACCTCAATGAAGCATATGGTGCCAACTGTTATAATGCATGTTGGGATTATATAACGCCAGGTGCGGTTCATTTCGTGGACCAAACAGTAGCAGATGTCGTACGGTGCAGAGTTATGAGCGTTGCATGGGCCTTCGCAAATGGGTGGGGCCCTAAAGGAAGCGCTCAGCAGAACGGCGTGCACATGAATGAGCAAGAACAGAATATGTTCAGGTGTGAGGTGGCAAATATATTTGGACATTTACTGAAAACTATGTACTGCACAAGTCAACAAGGATACAAGAGAGGTGTAGAGTATTCCCGCATAGCATTCAAGAGTATGCAGAGCGCGGGCAAAGATGGAGCTGGAGTACTGGATGGTCCTGTTCTAGAGGACAAATGTACAGCATGTGGGTATAAGGACCATGAAAGGTTGGCACACGCAATAAATTTGAAAGTAGTGGAGTGGTTCTTGGAGGAAGGACGAATAAAGGCAGAAATACAGGCACTGGAAAGGGCAATGCCGTGTAAAACAAAATGGACAGATTACATTAAGCAGCTGGACCAAGGGGACAAACATATTAAGGAGGGGTGGAGAGACTGGAACAGTATCAAAGACCGTTTGAGCACACACGGGAGGAAGAAGCTAGAGACAGCAGAGACGCTGATGAACGAAAAGGTGAAGAAGATAATTAAGAAAGTGCAGGAAAAACAGGATGATATAGTGAGGGCCGCCAAGGCGGCGTTTGAGGAAAAGCAGCAGAGAGCAAAAAAGGAAATTGCGGACGGTAAGGATACGCACATACGCCCGCATACGCATGCCAACGGATGGCACGACTACGCGGCGGGCATGTAAACCATACGAATAGTACGGATGCCGCCGCCACCACAACAACACGCACGCGGCGGAACAGCACCCCCTCGTTGAGCCGAGGTGTGTGCGACGGCACAGAGGGCGACCGATGTAGCGGTGACGAGGCATCGGACTGCGGTCGCGAGATGACGGCGACAAATAACAGTGTACTGCTACCATCGCAACCTAGTTCACCGAGTGCGCCCCCCTTTCTTCCTGTCTTTGTCCTCTTCTAACAACGTGCGCGCTCTCTAACACCGTGCGCTTTCTGCCGCTACCTGATCGAACCGTCCCGGCCCCTTCTTTCTGTGCCACTTGTGTTCTTTGTTTTTTTTATCATCTTTCTACCATCTTCCTTTCTTCTTGCAGGGAAGGACAAGAGGAAGAAGGCAGAAGACAGCCGTAACGGGGAGGTAGTAACGAAGAAACCAGAAGCTACACCACCTAAGGCACCAGAGACACCAAAGGAGGTTTCCCCGGACGCGAAAGCACCCAAGGAGGAAAAGACGGCAGATAGCACGGCCAGGGCTGATGGAGGATTACCGGACATGTTACCAGCATCACCTGCGCCAGCGGAAACACCACAAGCACCATCATCATCTGCAGCAGGCACAGGGGACACACAACCAGGTACACGTAATGGTAGCACACAGACAACACCGGCACCCGCAGCAGGCACTACGGGCAAAGACTCACGTCCGGGGCCTATTCCTGCGACGACGTCAACATGTGGGCCCAGCACATACACTGAGACTACGGAGGCAAATGGGAGTACCGCCACCATTACAATCACTACCGTGCATTCCTCATCCCCTGCATGCGCCGGCGGCAGTACCCCAGGTAGTGAGTCCGATGAGAACAAAGAACGAGAGAACAAAAAAAAAAAAAACAAAAAAAATGAAACAACAATTTCCGGAGAGAGAGGGAGAGACACCACGGAGAGAGAGACCCCAAACGTCGAATGAGAGTGAGCGGGGCAGTCAGCGGCCGAGCAACGGGTCCGCCGCGGGATGCAGATGTAGACGGGTAGACGTCGACAGACACACACACACACTGTGTGTGTTGTGTGTTGTGTGTTGTGAGTGTTGTGCGCGGGTGCGAGAGAGAAAGTCTTTTCCCGGGGTGGCACCGTAAGCACCGTTCGCACCGTGGCCCACCATCCACGGACGCGCGGTGGTCATAACGGTGTGGTCCAGCATGAGCAACCATGCAACCGAGCATGCCCAACCTAACCATGCACCTCAAAGTTCCGTTTTATCGCATTCTTGTTCTGCCCCCCATACTTGCACTCATAGAGAAGGAAGCTACAGGAGGTACAACGACATCGGGATCCTCAGCAACAACGGATGCAGCACCACCAGGATCATCACCACACCAGCCAGCCCCAGGTCTAGGGCACACGGGTGCATCTGGTTCCAATGGTTCACCCGGTGACACAGGTCCCTCTGGTCCACCAGGTCCAAGCGGTGCACCTGGTTCACCAGCGCCGCTCGGTGACGCGGGTACTACCGGTCCAGCGGGTAAAGATCGTGAAGCAAACCCAGCCGATCCGAACTCCGTCGACGGAGAAAATAGTGACCCCCCTCCTCTCAATCCACCCAAACCAAAACCGAACCCGAACCCCAATCAATCGGGTGCAAGCGGTAGCGGCGCAGGCGGCGCACCGTCCCCAGCAGGTGGTGGAAGTGCTGTTTCTGGTGAGGACGGACAGGGAGGTGAACACGCTGCTGGCGGCACCGGTAGCGGAAGTCCAGGAGGAGGAGGTAGTAGTGGTGCAGGAGGTGCCGGTGGTGGTGGTACGCGTGGTAGTAGTGCTGGTGGAGGGGCTGCCCTTACCCCTGACATCCCTTCCGTTTTGCCCGGCCTCAGATGGGAAGATGTCACGCCGTACACCCCCGCGCTGCTCCCCGCTGTTGTGGGTATTGGGATAATTGCGTTCTTCCTATGGAGGGTAAGCACACACGACAATGCGGGCATGCCGCATGTGCCGGATGTTTATACCTCAGAACATCCCAACCGGCTCCAATACATGATCGTTCTAACACAAATGTACTCCTACACCCGTATTCATTCCTTTTATCCTACCGTCCTCACCCTCCTCTTTACCCCCCTTTTTCTGCTTAGTACTTTGCGCACCTCGGCCACAAACGATGACGAACATATCGAACCGTTCGTGACGTGCCGTCACCGCCACTCGACGAAGAAATATTGCAACATCTACAACGCGGCGACGCTCCGCCACCCGATTACGGGTACACGATGATTAGGGATAGGCAGCCCGGCAGATTGCCCGCCCAACGACGACGTCATCCACGCGTGCGTAAGCGAACGATCATCGAGCTCCATCTAGAACTGCTCCACGAATGTGCAGCAACCGAGTGGGAAAACGTCAAAGACCACTATTTGCAGATTGTCGTGGAGGCGTTTGCGCCCGACTTGGAGCAGGACGAGGAAACGAATAACAATATCTTGGGTGTGTCTACCGCAGACCATGGTTCTGCAGGGAACAATGTTTCCTCCACCGTGGATCCATCCACTGACATCGAACGAACGGATGCATGTCCACCGAATGACCCCGATCCATGGAAGTGTATGGAAACTATACAGTTCGCAGCGGACCCTTGTGCACCTAACGAAGATGATCCCTGGAGTTGTATGGAAACGATAGAGTTAGCAACGGACACTTCTCCACCGAATGCACACGAACCTGATGCATGGAGTTGTATGCACACTAAACAGTTAGAACAAGAAAAGAGTCCTTCCCAACCCGCTGCGACGAATGCGACTTCGGTCCCCGACTACCATCACTGGATCCCTTGGATTGACCGCAACAAGCATCTATTGCGCGCGTGCACGACGCAGCCGTGGTTTTTGCAATTAAAAGCGGATTGGAAACAATATTATCAACAACATTCGGCACACGAAGACCACGGGCACCGTGCACTCGGTGCAGCTGAAATCCTGCCCATGAAGAAATTGCACTTGTGGAAACAATGGGTGTCCCAACAACATGCGCTTATGAATACATACAGTGAGCAGGAGTGGTTCCAACCTTTGTTGCATACTGTAGAGGCGGAGACAGAATCGCACAAACGCGAAGTACCTGCAGTGGACACAGACGTAGAAGTGGAAAACGTAAATACAGCACAACAGATGCTACAAGTCAGAGATGCACCACGGTCGCAACTGCATCAGCAACCTTATATGAAAAAACGGTTCACCGCTAACATATGCATACTGATCCTGGCATTAGTCATAGAACAGTGCGAGGTCGAATGTCGTTTGCAGCAGACGGAGTTATATGTGGATGCACTACTGCAGACGCTCTGCAATTAAGATGACGGCGCATATGCATGGGACATAACGCATGCTAACCGTACACCACTTTTAGTTCATTATGTGATATACATAATATATTTCGTGTTTGCACTATTCCATACGTTCTTTTTTTTTTTTTGCTGCTCTGTTCTGCTTAATTCTGTTTACTTGTGCTCACTGTTGCCTTGTTTTGTTCTTGTTATCTAGTGAACTTCTTTTAGCATGACCATAGGAACAGGGTGGTACAGGTTAAATGCATATAAAATGTAGATTTACATGAATAATATGGAAGGGGTAGTATTCTGCTTTATGTGAAGTTAATTATTAAAAGCTGAGCACGTGCATTCTACGGGTATAGTGTAGAACTCATATAGCATGCGACTAAGCATTCGAGTATAAGGACAGCTTGTCTCTCCGAGCACACGCGGCCGCGTAAACCGCATTGTAGACGAGTGTCAGCACGATTCGACGACGTAGCCGAGTGTAAGAAGGTACACATTGTCTCTCCGAGCAAACGAGGCAGCGTAAAGCACTGTCGTCGAGTGTACGAAAGGAGGAGAGATTGCCTCTCCGAGCAAACGCGGCCGGGTAAAGCACATTGTCGACGAGGTAGCCGACTGTCACAACCAGCAGATTGTCTCTCCGAGCAAACTCGTCGAGTAACGCGGCCGCGTACACCGCATTGTAGCCGAGTGTAAGAACGGAGGAGAGATGGTCTCTCCGAGCACACGCGTCGAGCAACGCGGCCGGGTAAACGCGCATTGTGGCCACGTGCAACACCGATTCGACGTAGTGGCCGAGTGTAAGAAAGGAGGGAGAGATTGTCTGTCCGAGCAACCGCGTCGACCGCCGTAGCCGCGTGTAAGCACGATTCAACGAAGTAGCCGAGTGTAAGACGCATTCGACGAAGTGGCCGAGTAAGGGGTTCGAGGGAAGGATTTCCATTGAGGGATTCAGTGAGGGAGCAACGAGCAGCGGGGGGGACGGAGGAAGGAACACACATATTATGTGGGCAGGCGAACCAGGGCGACAACGACGGCAACGACGGCAACGACGGCAACGACGGCAACGACGGGAGCACAAGTTGATGTTGTTGTCGCTACTGCGGTTTTAGTGTACAAGGGGTTTAGTGTACGCGCACACAGAGACAGTGTGTGTGAAGGCGTTTCGTGGAGACCGGTATACAAAGGGGGCAGGCGGGCTATTCATGACGCGTTGCGTGTAGTCTTTTTCCTATTTTTTTCTTTTTTTCTTTTTTGTTGTTTTCTTTTTTTCCTTCTTCCAAACCCCACGCTTTATAGGGTGTGTGATTACATTCAGATAGGGGAGAGTTTGTTCATGTGACATGCTTCCCCAGGCACCTTATACTGCAAGACACATTCCATGCTCTAAGTATCTGAGTAACACACAAGAGAATATTGTGCCTATATTATACTCAAGCCGTTATCTGAGCGATAATGATATCATTCGTTTCATTATATTGGTTTATGGTTGTGACAATATGAAGTATGCGACGTTAGGGGCTTTATTAGCACATTATGTGAAGACACGAGGTCTAGTGGATAAACATGAGCAGTATACGGTAATTTACTCACAATCACACGCGCGCGGTTGTGTAATTATAACCGCCTCTATATATGATAGTATGGATACTTGCCTGTATATATAATTGTACGCATCCGATCGTGCACTAATTCCATATTAATAATACAATGGGAACATACCGTACGTGCAACACGTACCCAGCCACGGGCACATATGGATATGGACGAGAGCGGTGCAGTGGCAAATTATGCACACACATATATGTTCCTTATGCATAATACAGGAATTCCTACGGACAGATGTAACAGTGCTACTCGAAGAATTTGTGGCACATATGCAACGCGATATTGTGGAGAACTATGCAGCTAATTGTTTGAACGTGGGTTATACGAAAGAGCACCATGGAGACATGAAGTTCGTAGCTAAAGTGGGAGACAGAATTATATGTACACTCATGACAGGAGCATTATTTTTCATGAATGGATGGCACAAGCAGTCCGCTAGCACGGACCATACAGACCGTACTAGTGAAGCGTTGAAGGAACATATAAGGTGCGCCATAGTAAATATATTTATGTACATATTGAACGAATCTCCATGCAAAAGTGACATGGGTACATATTATGCATGGTACACCATGAGAAAGATGGAGCCAGATCTAGGGGGTGGATTAATTAAGCAGGGAAAATGCCGCAAGGGCGTGTTTACAGACATAAAAATCGAGGAATTCGACATGCAGCAAATGATTAAGTCATGGTTGCAGAAAAATGTAAGAATACAAGACACAATTGGAGGCAAGGCAATGAAAAGCACATGTACGAAAACATTAGCAGGAAGTGGGCGGGCCAAGCAAGATGCAGATGCCACGGATGACAACACAGACCTGAGGCAAGACGAGAAAGACGCTATACGTGAGTTAGGCCGAGGACTGAAGACCATAGTGGAGGAGGTAAAGAAAGAAGTTACGCAATGCGCGCAGGACACTGGCGCATGCATGGAGTCTATCGAAGCTGTCTCCCGAAGCAATCCTGAGAATGACAAAAGTAAGGCCATAGTATCGAAATCTGTCGAAAGAGGTATACCAGCACCAACCGTTGCGGCAAGTAAGGACCGAGGGGAGAAAGCACCAATACGACCCGCTACGTACCGTATTGCTCAATATGGATGCCACAACATGCACGCATGCACGGCACCACAACGCGCACACGGCAGCCACAACAAAGCACACGCGGCGACCACAGCGGCTCGAGTGTAGCACGGATTCGACGAAGTGGCCGAGTGTAAGGAGAATTCGACGACGTAGCCGGGTAAGCATTGTGCCGAGTGTAAGAACGGAGGAAGACATTGTCTCTCCGAGCAAACGCGTGGACCAACGCGGCCGGGTAAAGCACCTTGTTGCCGCGTGTAACGAGGATTCGACGAAGTAGCCG